ACATCCCTCTTGAAGTGTGGCACCCAAAGCTGGCCGCAGTACTCCAGCTGTGGCCTCACCAGTGCTGCACAGAGGGGAAGTATCACCTCGACTATGACTCCGAGATCCCTTTTTGCCACTGTGCTACTTAGAACAGTACTTCCCAGTCTATAGGCGCATTGGTGATTCTTTCTCCCCAGGTGCAGCACTTTGCACTTATCTTTGTTAAATTGCATCCTATTCTGATCTGCCCTTTCCCCAAATCTGTCCAAATCCGCCTGAATTCAGTCCCTACCCTCTAGTGTATTTACCATACCTCATAGTTTGGGTTTGTCTGTGAATTTGGACAGAGTGCTTTCAACACCCCCATCCAAATCACTGATGAAGATATTGAACAGCACTGGTCCAAGGACAGAGCCTTGGAGGACCCCACTGCCCACATCTCTCCAGGTAGAAACCACCCCATCCACCACCTCTCTCTGGGTATGCCCCATAAGCCAGTTATCCACCCACCTGATTGTGAAAAAATCCACGTCACAGCTACTTAGTTTATTCATAAGAATTGGGTGCGACACTGTGTCGAAAGCCTTTTTAAAATCCAAGTAAATAACATCTACCTCTACTCCTGCATCTAAGCACTTTGTGACCTGGTCATAAAGAGAGACCAGGTTAGTCAGGCAGGACCTACCTGCTATAAACCCATGCTGGTTGTCCCTTAGCATTGTGTTACCTGCTGGCCCCCCACAAATGTGATCCGTAATGATTTTTTCTAAGGTCTTGCCAAGTATAGAGGTGAGGCTAACCGGCCTATAATTACACAGGTCCTCCTTCCTCCCCTTCTTGAAAAAAGGGACCACGCTGGCCCTCTTCCAGTCTTCTGGGACCTGTCCTGAGTGCCACGAGCGCTCAAACAGTTGCACCAGTGGTTTCACTATGACACTGGCCAATTCCTTTAGTACCCTTGGGTGAAGATCATCAGGGCCTGCCAACTTAAATACGTCCAACCCCTCCAAGTGCTCCTTCACCAAGTCAGTGCTAATTGCTCGTGGATTGGCATCTCTCTCAAGCCACACTAAAGTCTCATTGGGAGGTGTGTTTGTATCTGTGTCCAGGAACACAGATGCAAAGAAATCCTTTAAGAGCGAAACTTTGTCCATCCTATGTGTGTCCATCCTATCTGTTATGAGTTGCCGTAGTCCATCCTGTAGTGGTCCTATGTTACCCTGCGCCTTCTTCTTGCTCCCTATGTACTTAAAGGAAGACTTTTTGTTACCCTTAATCTTTGTTTCCAGCCTGAGTTCTGTTTCTGCTTTGGCCTTCCTCACCACTTCCTTGCAAGCATGAGTCAAACAGGTATGCTCCTCCCTGGTGGCTGCCCCCTGCTTCCACAGCCTGTAAGCCTCTCTTTTCCCCTGTATGCTCTCCTGGATTTCCCTGCTCAGTCAAGAGGGTTTCTTGGCTCTTTTGCCTCTCTTTGTGTGTACTGGGATGGTACCCCTTTGTGCCTGCAGGATCAGTTCCTTTAGGAACTCCCACCCTTCCTGGACTCTCAACTCACTAATGCTATTACCCCTCAGTCCCACTCTAAGTAATCTCCTGAGCTTGTTGAAGTTGGCCTTCTGGAAGTGTAACATTTCCGCCCTACTAGTTATCTTTCCCAGCCTTTTGCCAGATAGTGAATCCTATCAACGGGTGGCCACTGTCTCCTAGGTTACCTTGTACCTGCAGATCCTCCACCAAGTCGAGTAAGGCATTTCCCTTAGTGGGACTGCATACCTCCTGTGTTAGGTGCAGGTCCTGTATGCAGGTGAGGAACCTATGTGAGTAGGCAGACCTGGCCGACTGCTCCTCATTCTTGAATGAGGACTCCAGCATATTTCACGGCATTGGCCAGGGTGAACATGCAGAAAATGGCTTGTGAACATGCAAGTAAAATCAGAATTCAGATTAAGGTTTATAGTTTTCCACTGAGCATCGCCCGTTACCTGTGGATGAGACAAAGATCATATCAAGTCCAGGAGAGTCATATGCTACAAGAGAATTAAGTTTGACAAGGCCTCAACCCCAAATTAGGACTAATCTTTGGATCTAGGCATGGTATGCTGCAGCTGTCAAAAACACTGCTAACAAAGGAATTTAGTAGAGAAAGAACTGACATACTTTGGATCCTGATTCTGGCCACTGGAAAACACTTTGCAAATATTTTGAACAGTTGTAGAATAACATTTTGTACTATAGTCTTGTAAAAACATGACATGGGTATTGAAAAGGACTTTGCTAATGAGCTCAGTTGAAAAAGGTTTCCAATTTAGAAGGCATTTATATCTAAAACCCAGAGGGAAAATATTAGGAAGGGATTGTAGAAGCCTGTTTTTGTTTGAGATGTAATAAAATAATTTCCCTAACAATCTTAAACTGCAGAGCCAAGGGACAGATCAAATTTATGAGACATCAAATCTATACCCCACCACCCCCAACCTCCTCTTCTCCACTCCAAGTCTTAGGGGGTCAGGCTTCTCTCACACAGACACAGCCTCTCTATATGTTTCAGCATCTGGCCTTACCTGTCTTGGCCTGATCCAAAGGCTATAATAGTTCTGGTGAGGAGCTGATATGGTATCTGTTCAAGATTCAGAAGAGTTGAATCCTAAGTGGATAAAGGCAAGACATAACAGGTAGAAGATGCACCTTCTTTATGAAGAAGTCATGACTGATTGATCTGCTTGGCAAATAACAGCACAACTGAGTGTTTAGGTTTCATGAATTTGCAGGACATTTTTTTCTGGGCTCTTACTAACAGCATTGGGATTCAGAAGGTTAACAGCATTGGGATTCATCTCCTCAAACAAATTTCTTCCTGAAAGGTACATTCTCTCCACTTGGACATTCTTCAAAAGCATCAACCACCAGCTGAGACAGGCAGAGTCATTACAAGTTGTCCCACCAGCCAGTTGGAAAGAAAACTGTTGGGTGCTGATTGAGATGCTACCTGTGGCTTAGCCTGGAAGAAAACAAAGAGTGGAGGATCTAAACTTAAGAACTGGCATCTGATATTGATGTGTAGGATCAAGATTCAGGACTTGGGTGTAGTCTCAGTCCTGCCCACAACATACTTATACCTTTGCACAGTTAATGTCCCTCCATTGTACAATCTACTCGTCTGACAAATGAGCCTAAAGCCAAATACCTTGTGGCATGTGGCTGACTTGAAACAGTTTGTGATGATCAGGTGAAGGGTAAGTACTAACAAATTATTTGCGATGGAAAAGCTGGAACAAACCTGCCGCCTGTGACTACTGTTTATACGCTCACAGCCTGAACTGAATTCCTACCTAGCATAAGGTAGGAAAGACTTGCTATCAATTTTCTGAGATTTCTTGCACGTTACAGGCACAAGACTTTAAGAAGCACCTTATCCTACAGAAAATGTCATGTCCCAGGGAAGCAAATGCATTTTTCATATGAGAGAGGATTAGAGACAGACAACAGCTTCTAGAAAATTATGCTTTTAGAATCCCGTGGCATCCAGCAGGGGGGAAAAAAACACGCTGGCCATTTTGGAAGAAGAGCTCACAACAGCGTGGTAAATTGACCATGGTAATTATATTTGTCATAGAAATAGGTTGCGAAAACAACTACACATCCTGCTCAGACATAGGCATCCTGAGAGCACAATGAGCTTCCCACCCATCCACCCACGAAATGCCGCAGTCAGACCTTTAGCAGTTATCAGCACTGGAGAAACGCATGCATTTCCTTTCGTGAGAGAGACAAACTGCGCTGAGTCCTGCTTTTGATAACAAAGTGTTACCCTGACATCTTCATCTGCTTTGATTCATTTCAGCAGAAAGTCACGCTGTCTAAAATAATACTGCAGTCTGAAGCAAATCCAACACCACACTAAGTGTCTTTTTATGCCTATTGTCATTCTTGAAAAACCAAGAGCCGAATCATTCCCCTCCTACACAAAACACCTGTGGGAGGGAAAAAGGCCTTCTTGAAGTGCCATGAGTTTAATTTCAGCTGCATTCTACATATCTCTGTAGGGAGTGAGGGGGATAAGGGAGACGCCTGCAATCATACAAAAGGGTCAGAGAAGAATGGATGGCACTGCTGAGCGACAAGATCAGTAGGCAGCTAACTCAAGCTAGTGCCTAAAAACTGTGATAAATGCTGTACAAAAGGCCTTTGACAGGTTGATAAATCCCATCCACAGCCTATGGGTGGTGATCTCTTCAAGCTGCTGCCCAGCCTCCACACCCTCCCCAGTAGCATAGCTCACTTAACCACAGAGTTGGGAAAACCGTTACGTACATTCAGGAAAACCCTTACGTACATGCTTATGCTTCTTCTGAGTCCAAAGGGGAGTTACACGCATGTTTTACAAAGTCCTTATGTGTTAAATCAGGATCTGAGGCACTACTGTACTGCCAACTTTCATCCTCGGGGCTGTGCGCTACCTGACTGAGAGGGGTAGGACAATGTGAAACAAGCAACATAAATTCCCGCTTGGAAATCCACCAAGTTACGACCCCCTTTGGTCACCTCCAGCCACCACCTGAAAGCTCTTGCAGGCTTTCTGCACTCCCATGCACCAGGATTTCTTCTCTATTTCTCCACAGATTCCCAGTTGTCTTTAAATTACCCTTTAAGATGGTTTGCCCCTCAGTCATTTATGGAGCATGCATGTATTTTGAGAACACAAACAGCAAACTGACTAATATGGAACCGTCAGTTGCATATTTGTCATGCTAGTTTTCATCTAGGGTTTTTTTTTTTCCCCATTTTTTAATTTGGGATGTTGCAAAGCTTTTCTTATGATACATATTGATGAAGCTTTCCGGTAGCAAGCTTTCTAAAATAATTAGAGCGATGAATCATAATCATGAAGAAATGGATCTTACATCTCTTAAGACAGTTATTTAAAAAATGTTTTGATGAATCATGCAAAAGTCCTCACAAACAGGGATTATTACTTTGTATATTTATTTCTGAAGAAGAATAAATCCTAAAACAATAGCTGAGGCTTTTAACACTTTAATTGAAAAATATTTACAGCAACGTTAGAAATGTTAATGTTACAATACAGACATGCAAAATGGTGCTGGTTCTTCATTTTGCAATTCACAATTCTCTTTAAGGGTTTCAGACTTGCTCTGTTCATTCACTAGCTGAAAGGTTCAGTCCTGGATTTTCAGAACACTTCTTTTCTCCAAATCATTCATTTCTTTCAGTATTAGGGCAATGTTATAACGTAATTCTTGAAACTTTGCAACCGGCACCTGAAATATAGAAGATTTATATTAGATTTGTAATTCATCTGGTTAAGACATGCATATGGATATAAAAATATTCTAGAACATCAGTCTAATATATACTTTGACACTGCAGTTTTGCAGGTTTTAAGCAAAGGATTGGAGGCTAATACAATTCTACATAACATCTGAATGTTCACATATGCATTTACCAAATGCTCTGTGGCAACTGGGGAGAGGGGAAAAACACCATCAGGCTCATATACTCCCAAAGATATAACAAATCACAGCATCCTATTTTTCCAAGGGGCCACACATGGCTGGAAAGCAAAGAAAATGGATAAAGGAAAGGACCAAGACAAGGGGAGTGATAGCACAGAAAGGAGTCTGAGGACTGATTTGGGGAGAGGGTGGGAGTCAGGGTGCTGCTGTGGTTCTTACGCTCTCCCCTCTCAACAACAACACTGCTATTGCGCACAGTGCAGAGAGGAAAAACAGCTGGTGAAAAACACTAAGCGTCAGGCCAACCATGGGAATTTTGCTGCAGGAAGTGGAAAATCCTGCAGCAAGTGGGGTCCCTTTTCTTTTTGGCACAGCTGAAGAATTTCTCCAGACAGCATCAAGAAATGCACACAAGCAATGACTCATAGCAAAGAAAGTTCCCAAAACAAGCTACACGAAAGGAAAAGTGAAATGACAGTGAGGCTGTTTGCCTAAACACAATGTACAAGGCAGGGGCTGCAGATCTGAAGGGCAGCATCAGCTTTCTGCAGAGGATAATCTAAAAGGACCTGAAATGCTGGGACCAAAGTTCCCCAGCTGCTCCTAGTGCACAGGTGATGCATGTCTGCATCCCAGGCGACAGGGAGAGCAGAAGCCTCTTCAACACTCTAGAAGCCTGGAAGAAAAAAAACTGGCTGGAAGGACAAGAGCGGGGAAGTGAAACAGGTGGCGTGGCAGTAGGCTCTGGACTCTGAAGGACAAGACAGTTTTGTGCCTGGCTAGAGGTGGACCAAAGTGGGAGCCAGGGGGCCTTCTGGACAAGATTCAGTAGTGAAGGTGCATATTGGCATGGGTTACAGCAATCATTAATAGCTGAGGGCTCAATCTGAGCAGACAAAGGTGTGACAAGACGCCGTGGTAGGAAATTGAAGCTAGACAAATTCAGATAAAAAATAAAGCAGAGTTTTAACAGCACCTATGATTAATCTTTGCAACTTACTAATGGTTGAGATGGATTCATCATCACTGGAAATATTTAAGTCAAGATTGAATGTTTTTCTATGATACACTCCTGGTCAAATGGGAATTAACTTAGGAACAGCTTATGACTTGTGTGACTGCACGACCACAAGCCCCTTCTGGCTTTCTAATCTCTGAACTGAAAAGAAGGGTTTGTGCTCTCGCTGCTAAGTAAAAGGACAGTTGTGTCCTGTCCATGACCTAGGCAGGGTAAGCCCATCTCCCGCCAAGTCCACTACCAGAGCGTGCAAGTCTGGAAGGGCATTTTGCCCAATGCATCTTCTCTGCAGAGAACATTGGGTGCTCTTAATGGCTTAAGGCTGGAACTTTGCTAATTTTAAGTGGTAAAGAAAAAGAAAGGTAGCTCCCACCCTGGCCTGTGCCTTCATCAGCAGCTTAGAGAAATCAGTGCAGTCAAGCACAGGACCTATTCAAACGATGGTGTGGGTCCTGTTGATAAGTTACAGGGCTTCAAGAATTGTACAAGTCTAAGAATTCCAAGTTCGGGAGACCTGAGTTTTGGTTCCAGCTTTGCCACTGACTTATTGCATGAACCAAAGCGCTCTGTATCTCATTTAATCTATTCACTGGATAACAATCTTTACCCCAGCACATCCACAACTGAAAAAAAGACCAACCACAAGCCAAGCACTATTGCCTTGGTGTGCAGGGGCAGAATACTTGGAAAGCAAGCATGGGGCATTTCTATAGAGCATAGCATGGGAAAATTGAGGCAGCTGCAACATCACAGCAAAATCAGAGCAACTTAAGGACAGCTATGATTAGCCACGGCAGGTGCAACAGAAGAGGAAACCTTGGAAAGAGGCCAGCCTTTGGGATTAGAGCAACAAGAAACACTGCACAGGTCTCTTCACGATAACCCAGCTCTGCCTAGAGGACTGATCTACCCATCACTGTACTCTCCTCCCTGCCAGACTCATGGCAAACATGAGAGGAGACTAATATGCCCAGGTTATCTCAACCAAGAGAGAAGCTTCAGAGCCAAATCCAGAAGTGGTGCCTGGCTGCCATGAATGGTCAGCACATACGTCATCCAGCACTGACATGTAATGAAACCCATGGGCTAACAAGTACAGTACAGTGAAACGTGGGCACGGCTACCCAGTACTAGGACAAAATCTCGTTTAAGCACTTGGCAAGGCAAAGCACTCCCAAACACCACCCAGGACGGTACTGTAGGACTACAGTACAGAAACAGCATTCAACAAAACAGTCAGATGGCAAATTTCTGGTGAAATATGTAGATTTCCAAACAGGTACATTTGGTACATCCAAAACACATGGACCTTGAATCCAAGACTGATTGAATGACGTGCCTGTATCTGGTGGCACAGATCTTACCCACCTTGGGCCTTGTTTGCACCTCTTCCTTTACCACTAAGTCTAAGCAGCCTAATGGGGAAGAAAGGTTTATTAAATATGTCTAAGTCCTTCTGAGGTATATCTATACTGCAGTCACAGCACCTAAGCTACCCTGTATATTGGTGGCAGTCTAGCTACTGGAGCATGGAGCTCAGCATGGGCTGATTTACCCTGCTTTTGTGACAGCAGAGGAGACATGCCCCAAGCACAAGTTCCTCCTATGCATGGAGTCTCCTGTCATGCTTTTGCCAGGCTTGGCGTGGACACCAAAGGAGTTAGAGGAACCTGACACCTAATTTATGACTCTCATGCAGCCTGATTGTAAAAGCGTGACATTCTTTACACTTTAATCACAGTGCAAAATTCTGCAGCCCCTGCAGCTTTACTGAATCTCTTGGTGTCAACAGATGTGACTTGATAGACAGATCAACAGACCAAAGGGCTCGTGACTTCTGTTTGCACGCAACATGAGGCATGCAGATTTTAAGACACCACTCCTGGGTGTAATAATCCCTAAAATGAATTGTCTTGATACTCTAGTCCAAAAAAATAAGCTTCCATAAGCAGGACAGTCATAGCCAGTTTGCTTGGGAAGGTGACTAAGGTTTATTTGCCTGCTTGAAAGGCAGTACTTTGATCCAAGACACGACCTGACTCACAGATATGGTACCCTGTGCTGGAGAACATCGGCCAGTTACAGAAATGCCAGATGCAGCCAGTTCCATGGGTGGCAGCAGGTAGGACAGGATTCAAAATGAGATAAGTGTGCCCAGCAATCTGCTCGCCCAGGGCAGAGGTGGTAGCAGATCTAATTTCCTCTACAGGAGGCTACTATTCTTAAAGAAGCACAAGGCGCTGTATTCGCAACAGCCCCTTTTGATGTCTAATATCAGCTCCAGATGCAGGTCCAAGCCCAGGAACTGAAGAAAGACAGAACCAGTAAGGTTTAGGCCTGCTCATTTATTCTGGTAGGGGGACATTCAAAGTCCATGCTACACTTAAGTCCCAGGCAAACCCTCTTCTGAGAGTTCAGGTCTCTTTCTCTGGGCCTTCTGAATGGGGGGGTAAACTTTCATCCTTTGTGAAAAGACATCCTCAATGCTTCCCAGTTTAGTAACAGTTCTGCCTTTCCAAGCAGTTCTATGTTACAGCCTTTTCTGCAAAACAGTTTTTCTTCTAAACGCAGTAAAATCCACACATTTAATCCACTACCCGGAGCATTTCCTCTTCCTCCAACTTACTACTAATGTATGGACTAATGCCAAAAGCTCTAATAGTTCAAATTTAACAATGCATTTTTGCCTGGAAAATGCTGAACTATTGTGTGTGCCACAGTGTTATTTACAGAGCATGTAGCTTTCTATTTCAAAGGTAAAAAATATGGACAAACTCATGGCATTTTTCAGGCAAGACATTATATACAAAGGTCAGATACCGCCACTGTATCAGCTGAAGTAAAAAGGCTTCAGTTTTCTTGTGGCTTTCCAGTAGCATGATGTGTGCTACAGAGCAAAAAAATAAGGCTACTTTTGCCATAAAAGGGAAACAGGCGTGGTAGCAGGTAGCATGGTCAGTACTGCATCAAGTGTTATATAAAACTACCTCAGTAATTTTCCAGCTCTCAAAAACAATCATCATGTCTGAAGGTTAAAGTTGATAATAAAACCATAAAGATTTAATCACATCAGATATACAATAGTGCGCTGGAGTGACTGATATTCTTTTAACAATTTAAGTTTAAAAGCCATGCCCAAAAAACATGATATGAAATAATTTTGGCTTGTGTTTGTTATACGCTGTGTGTAGTGCAGTGAACCCAGAATATATCCTGAAGAAAACAAACCCACAACAATGCTTTGTTTATGAAGACTTACATTTTTAACAGCAAATCAGCTTTCTAAAGAGAAAGTAGAAGTTTTTTTTTTTAATCCATTAGATTAACGACACTTACTTCAAAACGATGAGCTTCCCCATCCGAAAGCTTCAGCAGCATTAAGATGGATGGCTGCAATGCACGGGCCAGCGAGCTGAAATTAGGTATGTTATTAGCATTACTACAGTGCATATTTCCAGCAATAAGAGCTCAAGACTACAAGTTAACCATTTAAGTTGTTTGAAATGGATCCCTCCCCCGCACCTCAATAACCCCATTCAGAATTCACCTCAATCAGAACATAACTGCAGAGTAGGACAGATGCTGAAGAGCAAAAATGCCACAAAATAGAATGTTATTGGGTAATAGGTTCAGTAATGCATCATATTTTATATGAACTACCCCAAATTATTCAGAGGAACACGGAGTCCTACTGAATTCACTTAAACGCTGGAGTAGTAGACTAATGGAACACTTTTATAGGCAAAAGAAAATTTGTTGTAATCATTACAGATTATAAGGCTAAGACAACTCAAAACGTAATTCCGCTGATTTCAACAGGCCTGCAACTATGGGAGAGTGGCCCAAAGCTACTAGAATAAACTATACAGGTAAACAGCCTGGGTCCCATTTTGCTAAGTAGCACTAAGCCAGCATGCACTATTGCAATAAAGAAATGCTTCCAAACCTCCTGGACTCTCAATCAAAGTGTAAGCTGGGCCACCAAGTTTGCCCAGAGACCATGATAAATTTGTGGTTTGCTATTTTACACCAGAGTATAATCGATGGCCGCAAGAGGGGGAAATGAGTCATCTCTGGGCTGGTTCCGTCAGCAGATGCTGCCAAAGCCAGGTCAGGTACTGACAAGCACCGGAGCTCGAAGCAATACCTCTCAGCAGAGGCTGCTGCCAGATGATATAAAAAGATTCCCAAAGGAAGGCTGATTGCAAAGGAAAATGAAAAAGAAAAACAGAGAACAGAAAATACATTATCTCAGATTTGTCTGGAAAAAGAAACGTCAGGCTGTTACTTGTGGCCCTCAAGGCACCGAGGCAAAGGCTGCAAGCTTTGCTGTCTTACGGAAAAAAATTCCTGTATGCTGATACCACAGCAGAGGTTTTTCAGAACGCACCTGAGAACACTGCTTACTTGTTCATGCCTTATCAGCTTAGCTAGAATTCAGTTTGGCCAGTGGTTTGTGACCATCACCTCTCAGGAGTTTTCTGTACAGCTTGCAAGTAAGGCTGTTTGGATTCAAAACTGCTACATCTATGGGTGCAGGGGATTGCCTGGACGAGGCCCCTTCTCTGGCTGAGTTTCGCCAATATTGCTTATTTTGGGTTGCTCCCAAGTACGAGAGACCAGACGTGGGTTTGGTGAATAGAGGACAGTGGTGGGATGGTACCGTCTACTGCTGGTGGTAGGCACTAGCGTCTCCTCATGAAGGGTAGGCGGCTAGGTTCTTGGTGATGCCCTACAGGTGTCTAGCTCAAATCATGCTGACTGACTCAGCTGCAGAGTGAGACTGGACTGCCCACTTCCGGGAAATCATCATCGAGAAAGTGATGGCCTAGCAGCCAATTTTCCCTGAGTCCAACCAGGCTTGGGCTAGACTTGGACGTGAGATATAAGTTGAAAAAGCAGTTGCTATCTCTTTGCTGGCTGTAGCTAAAGACAACGTGTCCATGCTGAGTAAGATCGGCCAGCTGTCTTCAGTGCGGCTAACGATGAGGTGCTGTTCACAAGGCCTTGGAGTCCCTAGCAAGAACAGACGTAACAATTCTGAAATGGCTTTCCTCCTGTATACGGGGGAGGACTTAGGGAACATTTGATTGTTTATCCACCTAAGAGCAAGCTTGCATCTAGTCGTGCAAATGTTCTGCTTGGATGGCTCTCATTCAGTGAGCCAAGCAGGCTTCCTGAAGGAGGGGAACCTGAGCTACAGTGTCAGCACTGTGAAAATAATACCAAGTATCCCACTGGAATAGCTGAATGGATGGCCCTACATCTACAGGAGGCAGGAGCTCAAATGACTGGCTGAGGTTCAGGGAAATGATCAGAGAGAGAGTTATACCCACTCCACTAATGGCTGCTAGGGCCACTCGGTGTAAATGAGCATGCAATTTAGGCTAGTATGGAGAGTCTCTTCCCCACTTGTGCATGGTAAAGGGAGCAAAAGAGGAATGACTACATCTATCCATACCTTTGATATCCTGAGATTAACACGACTGTCATGCACTCCACTTGGGGCAACACCCTGGCACTAGTCAGAGGATGCAGCCAAACAGCCTGATTGTTAACAGGACATGCTGAGGGCTTGTCCGTGGTCTTCCTTATAAAAGGACAAAGCACTGGCCTTGAGCTTTGAGGCCTCAAACTGATGAGTTCAGCTTACTGGAGGGACATCCTATATTGCCTTGCACCACACATTACCATAACTGCAGCAAGCTGATATGCTAGGTCTAGGATGCCCCTAACCTAAAAGAAAAAACATTATTTTATTTTCATACTGGCCAAGGAGGACCCAGAGTCATTAACCGTTTGCATAGGCTGCAAAGATCATTTTACCTTATGGGTATTTGGGGAGAAGAGAGGGTACAGTTAGCAGCCCGGAAGGACAGCAGTGGATTGCAATATTATGGAGGTCTGGAAGCAAACTAATTACATTTCTTAATGACTATACATTATAAAAATACTGGAAGAGGCCCCAAAGCTTGAGAGGAGTGCTACAAGTATGAACACTTTTGAAACCAAAGTAATTAGAATGAAACATAAAATTGCAAGGCTACATTAGCAAATGATGCAAACAGAAGCAGCAGAAGCCACATATAAAATCTGACTTGCTTGTTACCTAACCATGCAACTTACTCATAATAGCTCAGTCCTGATAAAATGCTCCAGAATTACATTTCTATCTGGAACACCATTCCAGATGTCATGCAACTTATTGATTTTTTCCTTTACCTTGTAGATATAGCCACATCCACCCTCCACTGGAAGTCTTTGACTCTTGGCAAACTATTTGCTTGTTTCAGGGTTGTGGCTTCAAGAACAGGACGTCTGAAAGATAAAACAGAAAAGGACAATTAAAATGCAAATGCCCAAGACAGAAATGTAAAGGGAAAATAAAATCCCTCAGCAAGGATGAAGACTGAATGTTTCCACTCTCTGGTCTAGCATCATTCACAACAGTCTGAACAAATTCAAGGGCTTTAAAGGGACTGCCAGTGGCACTCAGATTAGACATGAGCTTTTTTAAACCAAGCATTTCTTGACTTGCTGTATGCAATGCCAGGAGCCCGAGGCCACAGTAACATTCTGTTATATGGCCACCAGAAAGACCAGTGTTGAAATCACAGTGGGAATAATACATGTTTAAGGGGTAAGGTACTGCTAACCAGCTGGGATGCTTTTGCAAATATACCTTTATCTCCATGTGAGGTCAGTGCTGGCAGACAGGAAAGGGAAAAAAAAAAAGTGTATTCAAGCAGCGAGGCATAACAATTAAGATGAATCAGCCCCCCTTTGTGCTTTCCCATCAGCAGCCACACACTGTGCTCCAGTAGCAAAGGGTGCCTAGTGTCAATTAACATCAGGTTTACATAAGGAGGGGATAATCCTGACATCTGGGCAGAGTCTGAAGCATGTAGCGGAATGTCATCTATGGGCTCTTGCTTGAGTATGTCAAGTGGATGGGATTTAAATTCCTTGTGCAACACTTGCACAGAACAGATTTTATGACTTATGACTATTCTAGTAAGTGAAGGTTTTGGCTTCTTACACGTGGCATTATGCAGCAGGAGTCTAACTCATTACATCCGAGTTTATTTCTGGAAGAACATGCAGTTGACAGTGATTACACTTCAGATGCATGACAGCCTTTAAAATTTTAATAGCATCTTAAGCTCAGGGTAAGTAAACAAGCCAAATCTGATATGAAGACAAAACGACTCTCCTTTTTTAGATGCAGAGAAACATCTTGAGAATGAGGTCATTCCACAGGACTGCTGGAGAGCTAGTGTGGATTTCTTGTTACCTACTCTTCCCCCCTGGAACGCCACAAACTCCTTGTGCCTATGGAAGTTATTTACAGGCCATTTCAAGGCTACTGCAGCAGAGGGGGTGGATAAAGGCTGGCACATTTTTTATCCATGGCATTAGACAATCTAATTACAGACTTCATTTCAGGAGGGAATCCTCTCTTCACAAACAAGGCTCTGGATGCATGGTCTATCCTTGGATGCACATGTACAGTTTGAATGATGTCTGCTTGTAATTTGTCCAAAGAAGTTAGCCATCCAATAGAGGTGGATAATAGTGATAGGCCTAAGTCTGTAGAGGAAGTACTGTAAAGAGGAAGGAATTTGCCACTTTTTCCCCTTTCTCCAAAATGAGACACTCCCTTCATGCCTGGACAAAAGCAAGGCAGAGAAAATAGTTCAGCTGGCTCTTACCCATGTTCAGCTTGTGTAAAGGAAGTAGGTCAACACAGCTGGGTGCAACCAAGAGGAGCCAGAGCCTAGAAATAGTCATCGCAGGATTAAATAAAAGGGATGGGCTTTCTCTCAGCAGTGACTGCTGCAGGGAATTGTCTAGTTGGGGAGAATACCTCTACAATAGTCATGCTGCTAATCCTTTCCTCCTTTTTGAACACAATTCAGTCAACCAAGGATCTCTCAATCAGTCATGCAGTAGCTGCTTGAAGAGAGAAGGAATAGTGAGTGCTGGTAAAGGCATAATGTGAACCAAAGTAGTCCAGAAGTCTTGGAAATGTCAACCCAAGTTCAGAGCTTTAGCTTTGTTCTGGACTGCCAGAACCTTACTTGTCACCCTACAGCCAGCAGTTGGGATGGGTCCTGTTAACTATAAATTAACCCTGCAACTCTGTCTCAATTTCTACTGATGCCCTCAACTCCTCCATCCCATGACAATTGCAGCTGGAATAGAAAAGCAGATGTGTTAAACACCACAGCAAAAGTGACAGAACACATGCAGCAGCCAAAGGGAAAGGAATGGAGCTTCAGCAAGGATACATAAATCAGTTTGCAAAGACTGCTAATCAAGACACCTTTAACTTCAGAGAGGCTTCATGGCTCCTAGTGGGGCTCCTGTTTTTATAACCGAGTTAGATGGATATAATTTTGGTAGAAATTATGCATCAACAACCCCAAGCATTTTCAGCTCACAATGCTGACCACAGAAACTACTGGGAGCATATTAGTGAGGCAGCCCAGTGCAAACTGGAACACACCATATCATACTTGGGACATCATGCACAAGCACACAAAGGAGAGTCATCAGTGCCTGTCTACCACGCCAGGTAGTGCCATGCTAGGCCACGTGTGCTACCCCCTGAATTGCAAGTAGCACAGCCACGCTCATTCAGAGCAGTGCTTGGGCTAGTAAGTGCTGTCTCCCAAATTGCTCATGGCACAGTGCTAGGGTGGCTACACAGGTATCAGTTTAGGAGGCAACATGGGCAGAGCAATAGCATGATAGGTTAGCAGAATAGGTCTCCTGACTCCAGACACATCATAGAAGTACAGCAGAGGAATGTCTGACACGAGTCTCAAAAGTTAGATGTAGTGACTAGCCCATCAAGGTAAATATTAATAAACAACAGCTTCTGGACAGCTCATTCAGGACTTGGGCACTCAGGCATACCGTGTATACAAAGCCTGGTTTGGACTATCCTCTTGTATGAGAGCACCTAATCACCCTTGGCTCAGATACAAGACTACGTGATGCACCCTAAGCCATGACCTCACACTTCGGTGCTTGGATAAAAATGAAACAGTGCTACATTTGCTACAAACATCAGAAGATGAAGAATCTATGCCAAGCCCTCTCAAAAGCAGTTTTCTTGAAGTTTATCTGAAAGTGTCAGTCCAATGTGATATGCTCTTTTCCCTGCTTCATCTACACAGCTTGAAGCTGTAGATGCATAAAGAGAATTTTTTAAATTCTTAGAAGTTTTGGAACTGCCACTGCATGTGCAAAATTGCGTGAGGAGGGCAAGAGGCCTCAGGAAGAGAGACAGTTCAGCCAAAACAGATGCCTCTAAAGGATCTATTTCAGATCGAGTCTCAACCAAAAATGCTGATACTTTTCTCCCTATTGAGGCCATTCCCACTGAAGTGTCTCCCGCACATTTGCAATTCAGTAAGAATACACAGAACTCAGTAGTAGATTTGCCTATATAAGGTCTGAGAAGTCCCTTCCTCTGTTCTAGGTAGTTAAAAGCTAGGCTCTCCAAAGCAATGGGAGAAGGTAAAGAACATGTAGCTAGGCATATGGTGCAATGCTTCCTCTCCTGCAACATTTCACCTCTAACATAGCATTGTTCAGGCAGCAATCTAAAGCCAGGAAGAGACAACTAAGGTTTATTCCTGCTCCTAGGAAGTCCTTAATTTGAGCTCAGAGCCTAAAGGAAAAAAAATCAATATTCTAAGAGAAAACAAAAAATGCCAGCAGCTCTGGAAATGCAGCTGTCCACAGCTCTTACAGAGAAGATCACATATGCAAGTTCAGGCCATTTACAAATACTGGGAGATGTTACGTGAGAGGAAATCTGAGGAGATCCGACTGGGAGAAAGGTACAAAACTAAAATCACAGTGGGTTTTTCAAAAGAACTAATGGTCTCCACTCTACCCAACAGCTAAGATTTGGAAATTTGTCATCTGGTCCCAGTTATGAATAATACTAGCTGTATTTTGAAGGGAGCAAAGGAGATTTAACTACACCTCTCCCATTAAAGCAGAGGGACAGCTTGTGGCTAAATCTTCTGAAGTGCTTTGAAAATCCCAATCATCATTTTTAATTTTGCTACAGACATGTGTGCTCCTCACTAACCAACCATAGAAGTAAAGGCAACCCCTGAAATCCATGGAACTTATAATGTAAATGATAGGATACTGTCTAAACCTAATCATATTGAACAAAAAACGCAGAGACTACAGAGACTGGAAACTGAACCTTTCCATTTTTTTCAGAACTCCTGAAACAGGAGTCAGGAGTTCTAAAAAAAATTCTACACGCATAGGTATTTCTGTATTTGGACTGCTGCTATCTGTGGGATATCACTGAACGATGCTGCAGAAGGATTTAAATATGACAAGGAAAGGTGCTTTCTGCAGAGCCATTAACAAACATAAGCAGTTACTTTAAGCAGAGTCTGAGTTACAGAGTTAAAACTCTGGCCCTACTGAAAATTTTTGCCATTGACTTCACCAGGGATACGGCTTTAGTCACACACCTTTAGGTCTTTGATCAGAGGATACAAGTGGATTTATAAAAATACTAACCTGTTACCAAAGACTACGCTGGCAAAGTCTGCGATGAAATCGTCTGGTATCCTTAAAGAAAAGGTCAATAGCATGAGATAAATACTTAAAATGTTCTGCAACCACAGATATACTCTCCTCTCTCTTCAAAATCATTTAATTAATATTTTCTTTGGATTGGAATTGCCAAAAGTTCTGAAGTAAATCATTTATAGTCTGGTTTACTCCCACTGAAAGGAACCCTTCCACCACAATTCCACCATCTTTCCTCTCCAGGGCCTTCAGAAACCTGTTCCAACTTGCCCTTCTACTTTGGACAGCCTTAGTCAATACAGCAGATGGCTAGATACCGCACATAGGAATTTCAAAGGTGCTTAACATTTGCTTAACTCTTCTACAGAGTTTGACAATGCCTTTAACAGGAGCAGGACTAGCCCAAAACTAGGTGCTTTAAAAATCCAAATCAACACCTCTTTTCAATGTCACTTCCATCTTAGAAGGAAAAAAAGGAAGAATTACAAAGAAGGGCACCTAAAGAAACCAAATGGAATCTCTGAGACTGGGTCAGAGCACTTAAAAATATGCATATTCATGGGGAGCAAGGCAGTAATCATTTGCACAACAGCTTGATACAGGGCTACCTACGGCAGAAGATCAAAGCAAACAGGAAACGTTCCAACTCTCAGATTTGGTGTCTGCAGAGGTGAAGATAAGGCAAATGTTTATAAGCAACTTTCCCAGAGTGGGAAGATGGCCCTCGGCTTGGAATTTAATGGAAAAGGTGAGTTTAAAACCACTTCTTAAAGGAGACACAGGAGAAGGCCGATTGATTTATACTAGCAGGCAGGCCATTGTTGGCAAATGGGGCAAGACGGAAGAGGGTGGAATGAGAAACGTTTTTTTTGTTTGGCTGGATGCGCACTTTGTTCTCGCCAATGACCCCCACAATGCAAACGCTGCCTGTTGATCTGTGCAGGCACTGCATGCTTTACATCTCAATGAGAAACAAGGTCACTTACTACAAACCCCTTCTTCCAGCTGTTTCTCTGCAAGGGGCCCTAGTAGTATTTCTCAGAGCACTGAGTAGTCCTCAGAAACACAAACATGCCACCTTTGCAGTTGCATTCTTTCTGCAATATAACTCATTATTTTAATAAGAACCACTGGCCTATGAACTCCAGCACTGGATCAAGCAGCTTGCATGCTTCTCCAGTCACAGGCTGAATAGCTCGGTCCAACAGCACATAGGCAGAGATGAAGACAGTGATCATTTTTCAAACCATCTGATGAAAAACAATGCACGGAGGAGGAACTGACAGACAGGCGGGAGACTGTGAGGACGCCTTTATCCCATGTTCCCAGACTGCCTGCCAGCTTGCACACAAGAACCTTCCCTGCTCACTCCCACTGATGCAACAGCCTCCGTTCCTGCCAAGCAAAACTGATAGAAAAACTGAGATGGCTACTGTCCCCACTGCAAAGACCGTATATGTTTGGTGTGCTAATACTGGACGACCACCAGGGAAGCCACCAGCAGCAACATAATGAGCTGTACGTTGGCTCGCTCACCCTGCTGTCTCCTCCAGTAGAAGTGCTGAGGCCAGGACAAACTGTAAGGGCCTAAAGAGCATGAAGGCAGCTGCTAACCTGCTCAGTTTCAAGACCTTTGCTTGTCTGTTTCCAGCCAAAACATTCTTCAGCCTCACTGCAGGGGAACAAACTTCTCAATCAAATACAGGTCTTCCTCATGTATATAATCCTGGTGCTATTGGAAAATCTTGGCTCAGTGCCCCAAGAGAGCCAGTGCAGATGGAGAAATTTCTGTGGGTGCCTGTGAAAGCACATGGGCAATTTGTCTCTTGGCAAGGTACACAGGGAATGTCATTCCCATGCCAATCAATCAGAGGTGTGCAAAGAGCTAGCATGCCTGAAACTTGCTTGTGAGCTGAACAAAGTTATTTGCTCAGTTTAAAAAAGAAAACAAACTGTCTTCATGGTGAGAGCAACAGCTTTCAGAAAAAAAATCATTCATCATTCTGAAAGTGCCAGGACTGAGCTGGCCCAAGCTTATTAGAATTACAGGAAGGTGCCAGAGACTGACGAGTAGCATCAGTTTCAAGGTCTGAGGGCAGCATAAAGGAATAGGTAGGGGTATTTCTAAGGCTCTGCCAACCAGGTTAACAGCAGCAACAAGATGCGTGTATCACTATTCTTGTGCTTTTCTGGAACAAGAGACGCTTGGGCTGAGTCACAAAGACCTTCCTGTTGTTAACAACATGATTAAATTGTTAGTGGGAGGAAAAGCACAAGGAGGAGGCAGGAGCAGCATGGAGAGAGCAGAAGCCTGGAAGTCAGTACCCCTTGATCCTTCCTGATTCTGAGACTGAATTATGATACCCAGGAAGGTTTCACAGAGGGAGGCCTCCCATAGAGGAGAAGGTACTTTCATTATTATTGTTTTGACACACTGAATGCACTCACTGCATAAAATAAAGAAGAAGCTCATTCTGTGCTGCCTGACACAGCAGGCAATCCAGGACTGGAAAGTCAAATATCACCAGGGTGCAGAGCTTTTTATTTTTCTTTCTTTCTTTTTTTTTAAAAAGACCTATTGAAATGTCCAAAGGGGCAAGGGCTACAAGTTGGCCTTGATGAAAAGCTGCCAAGCACACAGACTGGCATGGAGATGGCAGAGGGCTGGGAGCTGAAAAGATACAATTGAGGGATAGACTGGAGGCTAGATGAGATCTTTGAGGTAGACAGGACTCCAGTGACCAAGCTGGGATTGCTGGCAGCTAGAGGCTAGAAAGGGCAGAGATCAAAGTGCTGAGTGAACATCTGTAAAGCACCCAAGACCCAGGCACAACATAGCAGCACAAAATATATGTATAAAAAACAGAGCATAGTTTGCATTTTCTCTTATTCCTCTACATTGCCATACTCAGCAACTAAACACAGAGATCATTACTGTGCTGTGAGAACTAGCTTTTAGGGCCTGACCTAGACAGAGATACTACTCTGAATAGGCCAATGCAGATTTTGGTTAAGTCTTTGTGACAAGCATTATGCTTTGCTGGCTAATTAGCACAAGCAATCACAGGCAGATAATGCGCAGGATTTCACGAGTGTTATACCATTGTCCTTTCAAACAAACAAACAAACAAAGTAGGCCAGCTCCTCAGCTCCTGAATCAGTGTCATTGTCTTACCAAACATACAAACAAAAAAATAAACCTACTGGGGAGGTGGTGACATTTGGGGGTTGGTCACAATTGCATAACCTATACTGAAGACTAAATCACTTTGTCTGCCTAGCACGTGAAATTAACTGCACGAGATCAGTGCCAGATCACAGCTTGCTTATGCAACATCTGATTATTTCTCTTGGCTTTTTATGACCTCACTGGGAAAAGTATTATATGCAAATTACATATAATGTGTATATAAACATGTTCAAAGTTGATGACAGCAGTGTGTTTCGCTTCAGAAAATCAGGTATAAGAACAATTACAGAAAACAAAATAGGTGAATAAATGGACAAACCTGAGATCCTTCAGATCTTCCTTGAAAACCTGTAAAGATGAAGAATGAGCCATGTTATACCAGGTGGAACTGAAAACTGATCAACTGTTAACATTTTTACCAGAACAAAAATGTTTACTTGCTTACTAGCTCTCCCAAAAATTGTATTAGGGCAGAAACAGTGGAAAGGATGCTGGCTGGATAGGATTTTTAGACACGCCTAAGTGAGTTAGCAGCACAAATCAACTTTCTGTGGAACTTCTGTTCTTAGACCACTTGGAAACTTTTGAAGACTCCACCTTTTAGTTTTAAGGCCAGCCTCTTTCCTTCTCCATTAGCTAGCTAATAATACTCCTTTTGGAGTAATTATGTGCTCCTTTTCTTACAAACACTTTTGTGGCCTTTGTTTACAGTGAGACCAAAATAGTGGTAGCAAAAAATAAGCTCTGAATACTGAAAGCATAAGCACATTACAACCACAATGATGGGTCACTTTCTGGTGTTGGTTGTGCACAGATAAGAGAACATGCAGATAACAGGGTACCAGACAGCTAATATAGGCAGTAGGGCTGTGCAAGGCTTCGGACGGAGCTTCAGATCCGGAGAAGCTTCGGACACTTCAGGGTCGGAAGCAGCACATCCGGGTCGAAGCGCTGGCCTCGTTAGGCTTCCCGAAGAGCTTCGGAGCCGCATCAGAGATCCGGCCATAGAGTATACTGGGGAAACAATAAAATATCTATAACGTTGTTGTTTTTTGTCTGATTTGGATGAAATTTTCAGGGTTGGTAGACTCTGCAGAGAGGATGAAGCCTGCCAAGTTTCAGGAATATAGGTGCAGGGGTTTGGGGGGAACAGCACCCCACATTCTTGAAAGCAAAATTCACGTCAGGTCTAGGCGTTACAATGCAGCAGGGTGAAAACTGCGGGGGTGGTGGCTCTTATTGAGGCCACAAAGCCTGCCAAGTTTCAAGAAGATCGGTGCAGGGGTTTTGGGGCAACTGTACCCCACATTATTGAAAGCAAAACTCCCATCATGTCTACGTGTTACAACACAGGGGGGTCAAAACTGCAGGGGTAGCAGCTCTTACTGAGGCCACAAAGCCTGCCAAGTTTCAAGAAGATCGGTGCAGGGGTTTGGGGGGGAACTGCCCCCCTCAAGCTGCGGACAAGCAAAAGTGGTGCCATGGGTGGTTGTGGGACTGACTCTCTGGCTTGGGGCGGGGAGTGGGGAGACTGCTGCAGGCCTGGCTGCTAAGCTAGTGTGTTACCAGTTAACAATCAATGAATCAAGATTCACTCAGGGACTCGGGGACCAGCTCAATACACAGGACCTAGCTACTAGATAACAACTTAACGAGCATCAATTAGCACCTACAAAACCAGGCTAAGGAGAGGAAAGAATCAATACAGCCAATTAATTGCCCCAAGACAGTCTTGGCACAAGTTGCGTCTGTCAGCAGCTAGGGGTGCAGGGCCCCAGGACCCCCCTGCACTGATCTCCTCGACAGCTGGCAGGCGTCAGAGCAGGGGCCACCATCCCTGCAGCTGTCACTCCGCTGCGCCTTAACACACACACTGTCACCCATGGCACGAGTTTTGCTTGTCCACAGCTTGAGGTGCAGTTCCCCCCAAACCCCTACACTGATCTCCTTGAAACGTGGCAGGCTTTGTGGCCTCAGTAAGAGCTACCATCCCCGCAGTTTTGACCCCCCTGTGGTGTAACACACAGCTGTGACAGGAGTTTCGCTTTCAAGAATTTAGGGTACAGTTCCTCCCAAACCCCTGCACCTATCTTCTTGAAACTTGGCAGGTTTCATGCTCTCAGCAGAGGCTACCAATCCTGTAAATTTCATCCAAATCAGACAAAAACTAACAAAGTTATAGATATTTAATTGATTCCCCGTTATACCCTACGGCCAGATCTCGGAGGTGGCTCCGAAGCTTCGGAGCTGCTTCGGCGGGGGTTAGGGAGAAAAACGGTCCGGAGCTCTGGATTGGATCGCGGCCATCCGAAGCGGCCGTATCTGAAGGCGGATGGGACTGCTGCCAACTCGCACAGGCCTAATAGGCAGCACATTAAATCAGAAAGCAACACGTAAGAAAAGGCAAAATTTAAGTTAAAAGCTACAAAAGAAAATAGAAATAAATCAACAAGGTGATAAAGAATAATGGTGGGAACAAGGCAGGGAGAATTGTTCAAACTGACAGAGGGCATCTGTGGCAGAACCAAGAACAGACAGTGCCTGTATCTGATGCTTCTCACTGCAGTGGGACCAGCCTTCCTACAAAGAAAGGAAAAGCAAACTGGCAGCACAGTTTGGCATATATTTAGTGGATATAAATGATTATTGCGAAGCTGAGAAAACAGATGCCAGGAGAAAGTACAAATTAAAACCAAAGGGAAGTGAGAGGCTGCAATACAACAGAGCAAGAGAGATAAGCACAATGACAGCACCATAATGTAAGATATTAAAGTAGAAAACAACAAGCATAAAACTTTCCCATAACCTAAATGCTGTGCTGCAAGAGCAGCTGGTAAATCCAGACTTTCAGGGCTTTTTTAAAAAAAACAGAATGACAAGATAAAGATCAGCAACAGTAAATGCATTCCTAGCAGTGTTCCTCCTACCTACTTTCACCTGGAGCAACCTTTGCAAGCTAAGTCCCCCTGCTTAGGAGTTTATACAGTAATTCACAAGTGACATAACCTGAACTTGCCAAATACTTACCAAGTACTCTTAGTACTTACTTCTTGTTTGAAAGTTGGTAGAGGAAGGCGCAAGGCTTCTCTGAGGAGCGTGTACATGCCCGAGATGAGGACAGCAAGCTGCTCTTCTGACAAATCGGCATTTTCTGCAATCATCCGCACAGAGTCTTTGCAATCATTTCCTTCCAATGCACTTACAGTTACTGCAACAAAGAAATGAACAGGAAACTCATTTAAAGAAGGGAAAACTCTGGGAGTGGGAATAAGCACAAATACTGTCTGAAATTTGGTTTGGATGAGAAGGCTAGCCTTTATCCCCGCTGCTATTAAGCTATTACTCCTAGGCTTTGCAAGCACAAATCATCATCTGCTGGGTCAGTCTGACCTCAATGCTTTGCAACGGCAGCTCAGGCTGATCATGTAGGAGGGGCATTTTAGAAAGGAGTTGCAGATATGCAGTGGGAAAGGATGGTTACTCAAGGAACTGGAGAAGGGATGCAGAGATTTTACTGCTAGCTGGCCAGCTTAGACCTGACTGAGCGTGTAGTGACTACCAAGACAAGGTTCCTTGGGTGAATTTGATATCTTTTATTAGACCAACCCAAATGGTTGGAGAATAGTTATTAAGCAAGCTTTCGGGTTCAAAAACCTTTCTTCAGGCTCAGGAAGCTGCAGCAGTTGGTGTGTGCTCTTCATGGATGGAATGAAAAGCCTAGTGACTACCAAGTCACTCATATCCTCTGGCTTATCCCCAGCTCATGTTTCCTTGGGAGCGGGACTGAGAGAACTAACTTGCTTTTCATCAGCATTCTGATAGGCTTGGGTCACAAATGATACCCTTGTTGCAATCTCAATGGAGGCTAAAGACTGAACAGGGGAAGAACAAGGTAAACTTTTGCCTCTTCAGCTCTGTCGATACCAAGTACATTTCCAGAGCAGTCTGTACTACTGCTAGGTTGCATCAGAGACACCGGCATCACCGGCATCCAGGTAGCTGGACTGCTCTGGGCTCCCCTCAACCTTCAGAATGTAATTATTTTTCCACATTTTCCATACACATAATGGCTTATAAAAGAAGAAGATGGGCGTGTATACATATTTTCTGCCTCTCCTGTAGGCCTCTTTGCTGCAATGTGAACTGTGTGGGCAGGTTCTTGCAACCACATGATGCACCACTGGGAAAGATAAATGTCTGCCCACATGGATCTGGTTGCAGGATCAGGGCCTTAAATTAGAGACTTATAATGCTCCAGATATAGGCTTCTGAATAAAACATGAAAGAGTAAAAATGGCAAGGAGACATTATTGAATCTTAAGACTGGGACCATGGTAAGGTAAAAAAAAAAAAAAAGTTTAAATTGAGCTGCCACCCTCTCTCATGGTATTAAATGGATTCTACTCACCACCAGCTTCTATTCCTGGATAAATATACCTGCTTTTTAATGCTTTTAAATGTACTTTAATTGCAACAAAAGTTTCCAGGTCAGAGCTGGAGAGTGACATTTTCCACATTTATCTGCAGGACAAACCTGATACAGATTTGCCAGCACCTCTAAAAGGTTTCCCCACAATGCCTGAAAACAGCTTGGCCCTAAAGATTGCCTGTAAGAGAGAAGGGGGAAGATGCCCCTTTTGCTTAAGTAGCTTAGAAAGATTTCTTATTCACACTAATGGCAAAGGTGTCTCTTCTGATATCATCTCTCCGAACCTACATGCATGTCTAGATTAGGAAAATAAAACGAGTCTTAAAATGTGTTATCGGCCTGTGATCAAGGAAGCATGTTTTTAAAGCCCAACTTGTCCAATCTAGAAATGAAACACCTTGTTCCAAAATGTTGTCAGTCACAGCAAGAGCTAGTATTTTAAAACAACACAGCCTGTTTTTCTCCTCTAGATATGGTCTAGGAATGTTTCTGAGGCCAAACAGACAGCAATTAATCTAACAAATAATGAGATGCAAACGAGTTATCCAACAAGTGAAAAACTGCTTTTCCCAGTGCTGAACGGTGTGACCTTTTGTCTTCAAATGTTCTCTTTTACAGCATATAGTGCCCCAGCCAAGAATGCATACCCAGTGAGTCAGGGTAACATATAGTGCACCAGCCAAGAATGCATACCCAGTGAGTCAGGGGTCACATGTCCTTCCTGTGTGCTCACAGAGAAATTACTTATTTAACGTGCCTTGTAATACCACTGGGGGATAACCCCCAAGATTATGATGTGCGGGTTGTCTACAGGTTTGTCATGTGGAAGTTAACCATGAGACTCAGCACAGCACAATACATTTGAAAACCTACTGTGCCTTTATGAGCTGCCAATCCTTTGACAGAACTGCGGCTTGCAGAACATGGCAGCTTTTTATATGCCAGCCAAAGCCAGAGGTGGTTCGGGGAGATTCATGCTTGCTCTGCTCGTTTTCCAACAGCTTGCTTTCACTGCTTGTACGTGGAGATACACCAGCAGTCCAGGGAGCCTCGGGAGGCTGTCTACACCATCTCATTTTAAGGTTCTTTGAAAGATTGTTTGCTTGCTCCCCCTGCAGTAGAAAGGATTCACTGCAGATTGGATGCACCATTAAAGCTTTACCACTGCTGTTCACAGTAAACATATTGACACTGCTCTAAATGATACATGCAGAATTATAAAACAGGCTGCTTAAAACCCACCCCTGTTCCCTGCCTATGTGCTATCTGGCACAGCGCCCCCTCACCGCAGGAGGAAAGTAGCAGGTGACTGACTGGCAGGTGCAAGAGTTAGACAACCACCACCTGCTATATGGACATCAACCAGTGCTGTCATCTCTCATTGAGAAATAGCTTTTTGTCCTCTTTTTGACCACACCAGAACCAGCCACAACCACCCTCTGGCAAAAAGAACGGGAGAAACGAGGGGACGAAGCTGTTGAATGGAGTTGGCGAGGAATTCCTCCCCGTGAGGAGTTAGCATCCAGCTCCAACTACAAATTGCACACATGGCAGAGCCTGAAATGGTTGAGAGCAGCTCTCTCATGAAGTGACGGGGCCTCTACACAACCGACGAATGTGTTCTCTATAGCACCACAACACACCCCCCTCCCAAGATTTCGCAACACCAACACCAGAAGCAGTGGCCTGGGCAGAATATTGGGAACCATTATAGAAAGGTTGGGTTGGAGACGCGAGAAAGAAGACTGTTGCTCAACCAGAGCGGGAGTTCAGGGAGGGCAGCTTAATCAGTTCAAGTGCATAGCCGCAAGGCTGAGAAGTCACATAGTTGCCCTGAGTATGCACATACCAATGCGCTTCAGGACTGGCAGCCCCAAAACTGCCCGGCTGCCTTGTGCAAGCTCCTACTAGTTAGCCTGGGTGCTGCTATGACAAAAAGCCAGTTTCACAGCTGCTAACACGGGGTCCCTGCAAGCAAAGCCTAAGTTACACCCTGGGGAATGACGCAATTATGATGCGCCCATGCAATTTTGCGCATAAAAGGCATGACTACGCATAAGTGCATAATTTTGTATAATTTAACCACAGTGGGCTCTGTGCCTCTGCCTCCGTGAGGTGGAGGCACACAGCTCTGTGACTGGACAGCTGGGAAAGTAGGGAGGGGAGCTCCTGCCTGCAGGACAGCAGGGTGGGCGTGGGGTTTGTAGGTGGGCATAGGGGGATATATGGGTGGGTGTGGAGGGGGTGTGTGTAGGGCTGTGGGGTTTGTGGGTGGGCATGGGTGTGTGTGTGTGTGTGTGTGTGTGTTGTTGGGCCTGGGGTTTGTGGGTGGGTGCGGAAGAATGTGTAGGTGGGTGTGGGGGGTTTGTGGGAGGACATGGGGGTATGTGGGTGGGCATTGGTGTGTGTGGCTGGCCGGGGGTGCGGG